AAGCATTACAGTAAATTATGGAATCTTGGAAACGGAGTTCACCGTTTTCAAAGTACGCTACTCTAATAAATGTCCGCACTCCATGTATTCTGTTGACAACGTAGAAAAGAAAAGAAAATAATCTTATTTTTCGTTTTATGTTTTGTATTTTGGCTATCAACAAAACGAATTTGTGATTAGTCATTCTTTAACCTTGTCTTATTTAAATATATGACGAAATACTTCGATCTCACCATACTGAATGATTCATATTCTTCTTCAACATACTTGAATTCTTTTTCACCAGAGAACACGATGAAGCTTTACCGTTTCTCAATGACAATGATTGAGTGCGACGAAAATTTCAAAATCAAACAAACTGTATTTGAATTTGCTCAAAATATTGCCAAATTCACACCAACCGACTATTCTAAAATTCGATAAATTCAAACGAGAATAGACACAAAGCTGTCTAAACTCGTCAATCGCTCTGATCGAATCTAAAAGCAGTAAACAGCAGAAATTTTCGATAGTTATTGATCTTTATAAATTAAATCATCGATATTCCCTATTGGAATATACCCAAGTATCTTGGTTTGAAATGAATGAAGCTTTTTTCCTTTTCTTCTCTACGAAAGAAAGAAGAACGAAAGCGACTGCAGTATTTGTATCTAACAATGAGTCTTGCACAATCTTGCGAATGTGTTGCTCTGATTTATTAGTCGTCCAAATAAAAGAAACTGTACCTCAGAAAATATATTTGATAGAATTAGTCATTCAAAAATTGCATTGAAAAAATGCAATCGATGACGTGTCATGTATCCCTTTTGTTGTTTTGTCACATTCGTTAATATCCCAAGACACATTGGAGAATTCAAAGAGTTGACAGGTTTTTTCTGCAGCAAAACGTTCTCTAGTATAAGAAAAGCAGACGAATTAACTTTTGAGTATTGTCAACACATCAATAACAAAATTATCATACCATGTTTCTTCTACCGTGCTCTGGGAGGCGAATGCGGTACAAAACAGCACAAAGCTCGTCATCATTACTGTCTACAGGAAGCCAAAAGAAGTCGAATTCGTCATACGATTGTAGATCCAATGTCACACTTTCACTCTACCGTAAAACAAGATTATTGATTGATCAAATTAGCAAACCAATCAAGAATTCGACTCATAGATTGCGCCGAGTTCCTCACACAATTTCAAATTCCAATGTCGATCCATTGAACCGAGAAAAATTTCCATCAACACCGGTACTCGATCTAAATGAAGTGAATCGCATTAAATTACAGGAAAAACTAACTCATCTCCAGAATCTTATATCTACGTTAGAAAACAGTCTGAGTAATACTCCTCGAAATACGCAAGAATACAATAAATTCCTATGGCAATGGTATTACATGAGACGACAGATTTTCAACTTGAAGAATGAGCTTGCCGAATTAGCAGTGAGAATGAGTATGATACANGGTTTGCAGCCATTGAGAACCCGATCTACACCCAGCCCCCACACTCACACCCACACCCACAGCAACACCCACACCCACATCCACATCCACACCCACACCCAAATCGTGATGATCAATTGAATTGACCAACAGACGTTATTATTGATCGAATGACCAATGATTTGATTATTGCTGATGCTGGAAATCGACGAATCATTCGATGGTCTCTTCAGCGTGGTACGACAAGTGAACGAACAATCATTTCCAATGTTGAATGTTTTGGTTTAGCAATTGCTGAAGAAGATCAATCACTCTAAATTGTCGATTGATCAACATCTGGTGAAACGATATCAATCAGATGACAAAAAATGAATTGTGGTAGCAGGTGGAAATGGTGAAGATTATGATCTTCATCAACTTTCCTATCTAACTTATGTTTTTGTTGATCCAGATCAATCAATTCATGTCTCGGATAGGGGAAGTCATCGTGTAATGAAATGGATGAAAGATGCCAAACAAGGGATAGTCGTGGCGGGTGATCAAGGTGCAGGAAATAGTTTGAAACATCTATATTATCCTCTTGGATTAGTGGTCGATGAATTGGAAAATATTTATATATGTGACTGTAATAATCATCGAATCGTTCGTTAGTGTAAAGAAACCGAAGAAGGACAAGTAATGATCAGTGATAGTAATGAAAATAAAC